GCGGGTGCGGGGGCTGCTGTTGCATTTATCAATTGCAATTGCAGCAACTCGTGTCCATTGAGACATGAGCAAATGGCAACTGGTTTTATCGTATTCAAACACAACTGTCGACATTTTTGCAGCCTAAGCCAAAAGGCTTATTGCATAAATTAATTAAAAATGTAATTAACAAATTTTAATATTTGCCAAAGCTGTAAAGAAATGTTTAATATTACAGCTTAGTATTTAAAAAAAATATCTAAGCTAAAGGCGGCATTTTGTTGCATATGAATGAAGTTCCAATGAAGTTAAATGAGCGGGCGTGCTATAAAAAGCTTGTGTGTGTCCTGGCTAAATGTGTCTCGGCTATGCTATAAAAACTGCAACGCATGTAGAGCTTTCTGCATACTGCTAAGCTTGCTGAAAGTGGGCTTTATGTAAAAGCTTTTAAGCAGCTCGAAAGAGTAAAGGATTTCGGGAATATTTAGAATTTATTTTTAACATATTTTCAAAATTCTGGTATCGTGCTTGTATTGGAGCTTCAAGATTTTGAGTTTTAAAATACTTGAAATAATATAACTAAAAATAATTTATAAACAAATGATGTGGATGATTAGTTGGTAATTGTATTATTTTTAAAATTTTATCACGAATGAAAACAAGAAACAGGCACCGTGGGTGCTTTCAATGTAATTAACTTTTCGATTTAAGGTTTGAGAATTTTCCCAGCTCGTTTTCAATAAAACTTTATTTAAGCTGCTTTTGTCAACGCCAACAATACTTAGTTTACTTACTTAACTTTAAATCCCTTTTTGCACTTGTACCCCGCCAATGCAAACAATAAGTTTTCCACTTGTTCCACTTAGTTCTCAAACAGCACTGAGCGGCAACAAAGCAGAAAAGGCTGCCAACCTAAATAAAGAATATGTTTTTAATGTGACAAACGCAATGAATCAATTTTCAGCAAAAGGCAGCTTCCATCCGAAACGACAGTAAAAATTTCCGCTTCATTTGAACCCAGTTTGGCACTTCACTAAAAGAGGGCTGGCCCAAAGGATAAAAAAAAGGAAAATGTGGAAAACTGCAAGCATATGGCAGTGAAGGGGGCACCCGCCCTGGGGTCACGTCATTGAACACTCGAGTGGGCAGTCCCTTTAAATAGGTAACCGTTGCGTCCGCAGGTGGACACAGACCGCACACAATTTTCGGGCCTACGGGTTCACTGAATTTGATGAAATTAATAAAAACAATTTGTATTTATTATGTCGGGTCTGTTGGGTGCGAAATTTATTTTCAATTTGCCGGCGCGTTGCGGTCAGTAAAATTTACGTAACGCGGATAAAACCCCGTGCGATGAGCGTGTGGCAGATAATGCGGCTAGTTTAAAGCGAGCTTTAAAAAAAAGAGGAAGAAAAAAGTGTTGCATTTGCGAGGGCAATCTGGTGACTGGAATTGGAAATGGCAGCGTCTCACGCCTGAGCCATAAATCAAATGAATTGAAAAATGCGTTATTAAATAAAAGGAGCGCAAGGAGCAAGGATGCAGCAGACAGGACGAGGGACAGCGGACAGACAGACAGAGAGCCAGCCATGTGTGCACACAAGTCCGTTTGCTGAAACGCCCCTAGAAATAACGAGAGATCGACTCGTGTTGCCAATTGCGCTTGGTTCCCAACAAAATTTGCCTTTTATTGGCTGAGTTGGCGGAAAACCTATCAAAATAGCATATTTATAGCTTGTTGTATAAACACCAAAGCAAATAGCCGGTAAATTTACTAAGCTTCAACTTGTTGGGAATTAGAAGTATATTATCTGTATCATTATCATTAGAAGTATCATTATCTGTCTGATAAGCTACTAGCACACTTAGTTGGCTGTTTTTCGGCTAGAGTTAGCTTTTTTTACTGGCAACACTTCTGCTAACTGTCTGCCTGCGTTGCCAGCTTGTTGAAATATGCGCCCTGCTGCATTTTGATTTACTTTTATGGCTAGACAACTGGCAACCCATTCCCGACACCCGACCACAGCTCAAGGCAGAGGCAGATAGAGAAAGAGGGAAGTAGGGAGAGAGGAGATTCCAGGACATGGGCACTTGTTGGGCTTCAAAATTATGTCCTGCAGGTGTCGGCGCCGCAGCTGATTAGCTTCAGCTTGACGCTAATGCGACAAGGGGGTTGCTTCCCGCAGCTCGCGGTTGGGGAACACAGTTGCCTGTCGACGTGCATTAAAATTCAATTATTAAACATATTTTGCAGCTGCATTACGTGACCATGGCTCAAGAGTCACAATCAAGGGTCAACAGTTTGCCAGCCAAGGGCAGGTTTGAACTTGTTGTGGGAGTAGGTGGCATGGGAAGGGGAAGGAAGGTCTAAGGCCGCAACTCCCACACTTTACTCGACGACAGCTGTGGCTATTTATAAAGCACTCGCAGCGAGCTCCCATTTCAGCGCCTCATGGCATTGCATTAATTTCACAGATCAAACGCGTTGATGGACCGAAGCTAATGAAAATGTGGAAGGCGCACTGGCCCCCGGCCCAAGCCACCAAGACCATAAGCGCTTTTTAATGAAATGCGTGGTGAAATATGGGCGGGAGCTAGGTCTAACAAGTGTTTAATAAATACACAAAATTATGTTGTAGCACACTCCGTTGTGGCAGCTACCAAAATTGTTTCGCCTCCTAATGCCAAGGAGAACTTAATTAGGGGCATTAAATGCGCTCATGTAAGAAAAAGTTGCATTTAAGTAGCCCCAAATTGGGCGCCACCGCTTAAAAACCTTTCGAGCTTAAAACAAGCTCATATTAGTTAGACTACAAATCTTGTGAGAGTGTGAGTAGTTATCGAGCTTAAATCCTCCCAAGTTTGGGCCCTGGAGCTAAACTAAGGCTGTCTCTTTTATACATACATATAACAAAATCTTGAGCTACAAACTCGTTTCCGTTTCTTTTTTATAGAAAGGTACAAATCTGATAACCAACAGAAATATTTACTAGCAGAAGAAGGAGTTGTTATTGAGTTCAAGTACGTTCCACTTTGGCCTCTGTAGCTAATAATTACAATCACAATTATACAAAAATCCTAAGACTCGAACCCGAAACATCGCTGTTTAGTTGTCTTAGGCCAACTCTTTTTCCCTTCTTCTTTGTACATAAGTACAAATATAATATCTAACAGCAACTCATTATTGCCTTTAATTATGATTTTCTAGGAAAACAAACAACATATTTTTCTGTGCCGAAACTTTTTCTTTCAAGACACAAAGTGAAAGAACTCTTGAAATACAATCAGCAAAACTTTGCCGCAAATTGGGTGCCAATTTATTAATCTCTCCCAAAAAAAATATAACAATTTGAAGTTATCTTTAAAGCACGAGCAGCTCGTCGAAGTTGTTGAGCATCCCACCAGCTCATAACGCTCATACGAGCAGAAAACTCCTCCCCCCAACGACGGGTCAGAGCTTTAGCCGCTCCTGTGCACACGTCCAATTCGCTTGTTAACAGCAACTCTCCATAGATACCTTTGTTAACTGAAGTGCCAAATGGCAAGTGGTTCGGTTCGAGCCATTGCTATGTAACTGCGTGAATATGTATCTCGATATCCATAAACGGAGAGTGTGCAGAGGGAGGGAGGGAGGGCGAGTGGAAGTTAGGCGTGGCTTACACTTTGACAGGTGAGCATTGTCAATTGTCAATTGTCAAGTTGTCGTCTGTTTGGCTGCTGTTGACAATTTGCAAATGACATTTGACAAGCCGCCCGAGGAGGAACTCAAAAACCTGAGCCCCGAGCAGAAGCCTGGAGTCAACATCAAGTGGATTTTATGCAAATTGCCAATTTGAGCGTTGGTTTCGGTTTTGGGTTTGCTTTTGGCTTTGAAGAGGCTGCCAGCGGAAGTTGTTAGGGTGCTCAAGTGGCTGCCATGACAATTAACTGCTTCAAATGCCGAGTGCCTCTGCCACGCCCCTGCCCGCTGACAGCCATGCCCAGCTGCGCCTGACACCAAAAGTGTGGCCAAATTGTGCGTGGCAAACAGATGCACTCAGGCCTAAAGCCAAAGTCAAAGGGAATACTAAAGCCGGCGGCAGCGTCTCTGGCGTTTAAGTGCCGTTTTATGGACTCCACACACACTCTTTCGTACACAACATGCCACATTCGAAGACGCCGCAGAAAAGGCGACAAACTTCTTGGAACCCTAAACAATACCAAGACGAACGAAATGATACTCTGGCAATTGGCTTGTTGACTCATTGGTGTCAGCTGTGGAGGAGCTGCACAGAAATGACTCATGGATTAATTGAATAACTGGAAACGAAAGTGCGGTCATTAGAGCGCCAAAATATACGCTTACGTATATAAAAGTTTATACAATTAATAGTGTTAATAATTAATAACGGATAATACAGCCCAGTAAAAAAGATATGCCCACAAGCGTGAATGCAAGTATTACTATAATAAAAACTGTACACAAGAGTTTACACAATTATCCATCGATAATATAATCAGAAAAAAAAATATACAATTAATATTGGACAAAACAACTCAGTAAAAATAAATGTATAATATATATTGCATAATATAAAAAAAAATTAACCACCTCAAACATATTAAAAACTCAACTGATATTTATGAGAGTTAGACTTCGTTTAAATTCCGGCTAAATTCTTTATCTCAGCTTTGAGAGTTTTTAAGAATAAGACTTAGCCCATCAACACTTTTTGATTAGAAAAATCCACAAGGCTACATACAAAATATTTTCTAATCTAAAAATAGTGAATTATAATGTTTTTATCATAAAAATACTTATAACTGGTTTCTTAAATTTTCAGACATGCAAATATTTAGAATCAATTCTTCTAAGCCTTTTCCCTAAGAAGTCTATAAAATTGTAAAAAAAAAAAACATTTTTTAAATGAATTCTGCATTTATCAATTTAAAAAAATTTGAAATTAAAACGAAATCGTTTGGTTACGCCCACTTTATAAGAAAATTTTGAAAGTTATATTGAGAAATACTTGTGCACTTACCGTTCTTCAATGGTTGTTGGTAGCTGTGTTCTGGCTCGCATCATGCTGAGAAAGTGTTTGCCATGGGCGACACCGCCCGCTGATCCTGTGCCGCTCAAGCCGCTGCTACCCTCGGACAGATAGCCGTTGTCGATGTCATGATAGCGACTGGCTGCAGCAGAGCTGCCCACGCGCAGCGCATCACCGTCGCTGCAGTAGCCCTGTCCGATGTCCGACTCGCAAAAGTCCAGATAGGATTGGTGCGGATGCGTTTGTCCGCCGCGTGCGCCACGCGTGGGCAGCGTCACATGCGAATTGTAGCCGCGCAGCAGTGGGCGCATGGGCAGCACCGAGGAGGCGGACGAGGAGCTGGCTGCAGAGGACGGCAGCTGTTCCTCCTTGGACTCATAAATGGTGCCCACTATTTTGGAGGGTATCGTATGAAATTTGCTGGGCGAGCCGGTGGGCGTATTGGGCGCCGAATTGTGCATTGGACGCTGCAACGGCAAACGGGGCGACTGTCCCGCATTCAGAATATGCGGACCCGCATTGTACTCCAGTTTGCGTGGTGCGCTGAGCGCGGATTTCGGTGGCGGCAGACGGCTGCTGCCATAGATGCCGCCCTGCTGCGGCGTGCTGGGCTCGCTGAGGTAGCCCGAGCCGCTGCCAGAGTGAACAGCTGATATGTGATTGCCCGAGGATGATGGCGGCAGCGGAGGCGGCGCATTGGCATAATATGGAGGCGGTGGTGTCGAGGGCAAGCCCTTAAGGATATGTGTGGCTTGGCTGGCAGCCGATTGCTGCGGCTGCTCCTGTGATATGTTGCCCTGATTGTTCGATATGTCGCTCGATTCACGCTTAAGCAGCTCACCGGAGCCATGGGGCACGCCCAGCTGCGGCAACTTGCTGGTGCCTTTGATGGCCGCAATGGGTTTGGGCAGGCCCGTGCCGCTAGGACTGTGCAGGAGCTGCTGCTGCTGCTGTTGGCTCTGACTCTTCAGCGAGCACTTGGAATCGGATTTGGAGTGCAGCGAGGTTTTGGAAGACGTCTTTAGTGTATTCTTCTCAGAATTGCCGCGAGCCAGCGTATTTTTGCCCGCACGTCCCATTGTGGAGCTGCGCGATTCACTGCCCGAGAGCGTCTGTTGCTCCTCCTTGTGCAGCGAACGGGCCGGACTCTTTTCCTTCTTGTCCAGCTTATTGGGTTTGCCTTGATCCTTCTTTTGCTGCGCCGCCAGCAGCTTGGACTGCTTTGTGTTCTGCTTCTGTTGGCTCTTCTGAGCGCTGACGCTAATGCTGGGCGGCTTTAGCTGTGAATTGTGTCCATCGTTGAGGCTCAGGCTGGAGTCGGAGCGTTCCGAGCGCGCTGAACTGAAGCCCGAGGAGGAGGAGGTGCGCTTCGATTGAATTTGCGTTTTATTGGATGCGACCGCTGCCGTTGCATTTGCTGCATTCTGTTGCTTCTCCTTGTTGAACAGCTTCAGCTTGTCCAGCATCGAGTGCTTCTGCGGCGCTGTGGGCGCATTCAGGCTGCTCGGCGAGGGAATGCCGCTCTGATGACTGCTCTTCACGCTCGGCGGACGCAGGCTGCATGAGAATTGAGAGTGAAAGAGTGATTAGTCACAGTTCATTTGGGCAACCTGTACAGGTACATCACTTACCTGTTGTTGTTGCCGCTCTTCAGACTCTGGATAGTGTGATTGCTGGTGGGCGGACTGTTTGGACGGCTGCTATTAAAATCGCTGCCGCTCTTGCCCAAGCCCGGTATGGCTGTGGAGGAAATAAAGATAAAGAATAAGTTAAAGAAGCAGAATGCAGAATGTGAGTTCGTTAATTCCTGTCTGTCGGCTCTGGAAGCGGCGTCCACTTGAAGTTGTCGCCGGGCCTGCCAGCTGACATTTCAAAGATGTCTGTCGAACAGGCCTCTGCAGCCAATAAATCAATGCTAAAGGCCAAGCGGACATTAAACTTAATTAATTACTGTGCGTATGCTGGATGGTGGGAGGCGGAGGGGTGATAGGTAGACAGACAGATTTACTGACACATTTACAGAAGGTCTCACGCACGGCCACATAAATCTTCAAAAAACCAAGTGAAGCCTGTACAAAATATGGTTAAAATTGTATTCCAACTTTTATAATTCCAACAATATTATAATTACAGTAAACTGTAATCTAACTGAGTTTCAATTGGGAGAACAAATTAAAAATAAATCTCATCACCGTCAATGTCTGTTTCTATGTCCGTCTGTCTGTTTCTATGCGAACTATGTGAACTAGTCTCCCAGTTTTAAAGCTCTTCTATGGCCAAAAAGGTTTTGGGCTACAAATTATTTTTTTTCTTTTTCAAAATATCTGGAGCAGCACAGCTGAACTTGGGTAATTAGAAAGTATATATTAACTACATCTAGATAATTATTTTTCCACATTAAATGATTTATAAGCAGCTCATTTGCAGGGTTAGATTAGAGTTTGTGATAAAGTTCCTTTTACGGAAAATTCCCAACAGGCTGCTGGCGCTTAAGGTGGCATCCATTTAAGACCTCAAATCAGCGCCACACGCATTAATTACAGTTTGTACCGCACCGACAACAAATCAACTGCAACACAATATGCGCAATGAGGCGGTTTTTTGAATAGCACGCGCCCCCATTCGAAGCACTACAGCCCCATCAATGTATACCCAGGAGTGCTTTGATGATGTGCACGCTGGGAATGGAACACGAGCCATGTCGAGATTGTAACCCCTTTACGACAAAATCCTGGAAACAGCAAGCGTTGTGCTAAGTGCATTGGCATGCTCCGCTGGGGGTTGCTTTTCTGGCTGTGGACCCAAAAATTTGTTTGTGCCCGGTAAACAACAGAGTGCAGCCCTGCCCAGGGGTTGATTTTCTTCTTTTTTTTTTTTTTGAAAAGCATTTTTTAATAAATTTCCCAAACCAGCTGAAGTTTATTTCACTTACATGGCGTATGATTCGGAGTCGGGGGCAGCGGGCGCACCTTGTCCGGGGGGCAGCGACGCTGGACCATGACAGTCGCGGGCAGCGGAATGGCTGTGCCGCCATTGACCTTCGTATAGGCGGGCGCGATTTGTCTGTAATGAGCAGAAAAATAAGTTTTTAACATTAATAAAGAAGTATGCAAGATATAAGAGTTAAAAAAAAATGCATAAAATACAAACAATATGCTGTGGTACTGCAGGCTCATATGTGTTTAGAGAATACACTTGGGTTTATGGGCTTGTTTTATGGCAGCCGCCCACGCGGCTCTCTCAGGCCGTAGCGCACATTTACAGCTTGTCTGGGGCGTGATCTGCATGAGTTGCGGTCACAGTATCTGTCAGATACATTTTGCCTTATACTTATCATTAACAATTTATACAAACTGCGACATAAAAATAATTTTACACTGCCCTGAACGTTGATAAATTAATGAAGTTGCCGGCGAACCCCTTTTTCTTGCTGCTGCCAAAGAACTAAAAAAAAAACGCTTGGCAATTGCAGTAAACACATTTTTACAACATTTTTACGAGGCGATTGCGCGGAATGAAATAAAAGACAAGCGTGCCCATAAATTTGCATATCATTGCAAAAAGATACTTTTGTATCTGGCAGTCGTTCGCCATAAAAAGCACAGCTAAGTAGGCTTCAGGCGCATCGCTTGATTAGCCGTCGACGTCATTTCAATGCAAAGTTGTGCAATTAAATCAAACTTTGCGCTTTTATTGAGTCAATCAAATTTGATTACTAATTTAATTTCATTCAAATTGGCCTTAAAACTATTTAATACAAATCAAAACTAATTGGACTTAATTTTTAAGAAGTCAAACCTGAACAAATTTTTAAAACATCTTGGTCATTTTTGAAATAAGCTTTCAAAATATTTCAAAGAAATATCATATGCAAATCAAGTCGTACAATGCGATGTTTTATTTTTAAAATCATTAAATCTGTGCCTCGGCAACTGACTTCTAGAGAATAGTCTGCGTGGAGATTACAAGCCGAAAGGAAATATATAAATATAATAAAAAACATTTGTACTTGATTTCATTTTCCATTACGGCAAAGTTTATAAAAGGGAAGTTAGTGAAAATTTAATTAGCAACTTGCAATTTATTTATTATTTTTTATAAAAATATACTTTTTAGTCTACTTAAATTTAAATTAGCTTCCAGCAAATAACAATTTTGAAGTTAGGCTTTTAAGTTTTTTAGCCACTCTTTTAATAAAATTTAAAATTATTATGCAAATTCAGTTCAGAGTGCCTACACACACACACACGCGAAGCAGGAAAATGGCTTTTCCACTTCTTAGCTACATTTTTTTTTGCAATTACTCAAGACGCTGATTAAAAACGCAAATAAAGTAATAAAAGAGACTGGCGCAAACTTTTAATAAGTCGCGCTCATAAAGCTTAGCAGGGGGCGCAGACAAAGCCCAAGCCGAAAGATACATTTGTATCCTATGGCTGCCTGGCACATTGTTGTTGGCCATTAATAAGGCAGGCTAACAAAAAAAGAAAAAGCTGTACGCAACAATTGTATTAAATGGAGAAAAAACAGCTCATAAAAAACAGAAGACAAGCGCAACGCAGACAAATGAAGTTGGCAGCTGCGTTGGCTTTGACTTTGACGTTGACTTTGCTCCTTTGGCGGAGTCCTTTTGGTCCTGTTGCTCAGCTACTGCAAATTAAATACAATAAAGCGCCCGCTACTTTCGGCTGCCTTTAGCTGCTTTCATCAGGCGTCTGTCACGCCGTTTTCCTTCAGACTTTTCCAAATTACTTTTCATATAATTTTATTTGCATTTTATTGTTGCGATTCGCTTTTCCGCCAACATCTCTGGCCATGTTGCGCTGTGTTTGCCAAACAGTCGTCAAGTTAAAAGCCAAAGCTGTCTGCCGAGTTTTATTCGCTTCGGCAAGGATGTCGATTGTCTGCATATGTTAAAAGATACAAGTTCCTACAATATGTCTATGAGATCAGGCAGCATGCAGCAGGGGTAACATGTGTGCGAGGGTTGCTCGAAACTTATATACATATATCAATACTTGGATAATTATATGATATTTCTTTTTTATATGAAGAAAATAGTGTCGCCATACTCATTAGCAGAGTAAATATATTTAAACTCTTAAGCAGCTAAAGTATCTTAAAAATCCAACATAGAACACAGTGCAACTCTGCACATTAATTTCTAAATTAGTTGTGCGAAAGTGCTTTCATTAGGCAATAAAATATCAATGGAATGATCTTTTTTATGGGAAAACATTGAAAATTGCAACCTCTAGAAAATCAAAGCAGAATATTATAATAACTTCGTAAGTAAGAGTTATTTTTCAGAATATGTAGTCTATGCTTCGCGAAAAAAAATACTTATATACTTTGTATAATTTCAGGCAACCAAAATAAAATATTTACCCACTAAAAATCGACTTTCTTTTCAATTATAGTTCATTACTTTAAGAGCAACCCTCGTTGCATGAAACAGTTTCCTTAAGCAACAGCAGCTTGTTAGCTGCAACATGTATTCAGAGTATCTGCAGCTTTGCATCTCTCAGTTTCAGGTGTCGCATGTCAGTTGCTGATGCGCGGGGCGCCACGTTTTCTGTTTCTGTTTGCATTTCGCGCAAATTGAATTTTGCGTCTTTATTACGAATTTTTGATTTGTAGCTGTGCGCAGATTTTTGTTGTTGTGCACAGTCAAATGTCTTTGACCTTTGCTGTGCGAGCGTGTGTGTGTGCGTATATGTGTGTGTGTCTCATAATAGCCTGACTGCTGTTCCTGGCTCTCTGGTGGCATTCACCTGTGCGGCACGGCCCACGCATTGGCAGTAGCAGTTGCAGTAGCTGTTGCAGTTGCGTTTGCCATCGCAGACCAGTCACTGAGCATTTCCGCACAACTGCGGCGAGTGTGGGGAGGGGGGGAATCCAACTATAAAGCGCGTCGTTGCCGGCATTTGCTTGTATAAATATGAAAAAGTTCCCTATTACCCGCGCTGCCCTCCCTCTTTGGGTATGGGCAACTCCACCGGCTGCCCATTAGTTGCATTTGCGTGGCATGTTTGTTGCTTTTGTTGCTTTTGTAGCCGCACAATGTGTCACTCGAGTTGCATTTGTCATGGCAGCAGCAGCTTCTAAAAGCCAGACTCCAAGTGCGTGGCAGGATCCCGGCGGAACGACGGCCCCAATGACTCTGGAGCTCAGCCCTGACCATTTTGGGATATTGCCAGTTGCCTTATACGAACCGCGAGCGTTGCAACTCTTTCGCTTTTATTATGGCTTATACATACCTGCGATTTGTTGCCAACGCCGTTTATGGTTAGCTTTTTTTTCTCTGTTTGTATTTTAGCTGGGCCCTTGACTTGGCTGCAGCAGATGCCTGAGATATCTTTGGGCTTATTTGTTATACTTCAAGAAGATTGACAGGCGATAGGAAGAAAATAAATATTCCATGCCTAGCCGGAGAAAGGCTGCCTGAATATTAGTTTAGTGTCGAAGCTGGTTCGGGTCTGTTTTGTTTTTTGTTTTATTTAAGACGCGTCGAATTTAAATTATTAAAGAAATGGAAACATTATGTTATAAATTATAATATTTTAGCCTGCGAGCCAAAGCCCTGGCTTAAGAAGATAAGACCAGGATTTAATAGCACAATATTTGTATATCTCAGCGAATCTGAAACCCGCTTTTCCCAACTTTTCCCTACTTTTTAATTAAAATATTAATAAACACAAAATGTTCAACTATAATTCAGAGCAGTATAATATTTATAGGTTCAAGTTCCGCTACGTGAATATATAAAAAACAGGAGTCGCAACGTGAAAGGAGTTACATAAATTTTCTTTTTTTGGGATAAGTTTTCATCTGTTATGAGCTATCTTTAATATTTTGGGAAAGTTTATCGTTATTTAGACAGCACACTTTCACTCGGCAGTAATTTAAGCTGCTCACAACTAAGTTAAGCTGTCTTTGGGTGCATTAGATAGTCAACTAGCACCTCCAGCTACTGGCCAAAGCAATTTCTAATTTATCTTTGTAACCCAAAAACCTTTTGAACCTGGCCACAACTGTTGCCATCGCCGTTGCGGCCGTTGAGGTGCAGTTTATACCGTTAAGCTCAGAATATATTCATAAATTTGCCACAGCAATTTTACTGGCTACCGCGAACAGCCCGTTCGACCGCATGTCAGCCACAGTCAACCGATGCAGACAAGAGGAGGAGTGGCAGGAGTCAAGAAATTTATGTGAGGCTGTCTGGCCAAGAAGCCACCCGACAAAAAGTTGGCCAACTCATGAGCCGCTGGCTCCTTGTTGAAGATTTCATATTGTCGGTCTGCGGGTCGAGCTGGCTGTGAGCATTTTTGAGTAGGTGTTGAATGGTTGATAATAAGCGTAATTATGTGCCATTGATATGCCCGCAGGAGTGGCCAACTGTTAGAGATTACTCCAACAGCAGACAGCCGAAGATCAGTTCTCAGTCAAGGGATAGACCAGACGACAGGCAGGAAGCACAGCGCATTAAACCTGTTAAGTTTTTAGCACAGGCTGGCATAATACATGAAAAAATTGCGTAGAGAAATCAGAAAGAAGTCAAACGGAAGCCAATTAGCATTATGCCGGAAATTTTGTATTTAAATCGTAAACTTTCTTAACTTGCCTATTAATTTGAAGCTGCTTTAACTTTCTATTAAGCAAAGCTAAGTTTCATTGCTCGTGATTTTCAATCTATAATCGTTTTAATTCATAATTTAAAGCAATTTTTGAGTGACCAGTTGGAAAAATTGATGCTTACTTAATAAACATAAACTTAAAATGAAAAAAAAAAATATTTAAAATTATTCGTAAACATTTAAAATTAAAAATAACATAAGATAAGGTAGATAAATAAAAAATATATATACCTTACACTTTAATAACGATTACTTCAATATTTAACTATTTATCTATATTCCTATGTATGTATCTATATTTTTATCCAGATCGAGATTCATTTCAGTTTTCCAAAGCTAAAAAACTAACAGCAACATTATTTTTCTGACAACTGTAACTGCATACCCATAAGATAAACTTTAAACATATTAATATTATTTTTTTTTTATGTATAAATTGATTTTAAAATCAAATGTAAAGTATAGTTGTCTAAGAATTTAATATTCTCAAATATTAATATTGTATTAAATTCTTCACAAAATACAATTCGCGCACAGTCTGCTAGTTAAGCATGATTCCCGGATAGAAACCAATCTTTTAGCTGCAAGTTTGACAGCTTTGTTTTCAACAAGCAGCCATGTCAAATGGCTCATATTAGAAATTGTAATGCGAGTCGCTGAAAAACGTGTTCATCTTAAAAGTCGTGTGGCCCCACCTAGCCCTTCCAGTGCCTGGTACAACGAGGCGAGGTGCACTCAGTCATAAGATACACACACACACAATATGAGTTGAGATACTTTACTAGCTTTGGGTATTGTATTCGCCTCGTATGAGTATTTCTTATTCCTGGCAACTGCTGTTTGCGGCTTTCAAGTGCGACATAAAGTCACGATTTTCAGTTATTAGACGGGCAAAACTTGTGCCCCAACTTTGGCTCGTCTTCAGTTGCAGCTTCAAAACAGTTGTTTGTCTGACTTTAGGGACACATTTTCTCAGCTGCTGCTGCAAGAAACAATTAATAGCGTCTGCCAACACCCCCCGCTCACATTTGCTCCCCCCTTGCAAACACACGTGCGCCGAGCAGACGGCAAACTCAAAGATATTCCTTGGCTTTCGTTCCCGGCTAATGGTCGCCTTCGTCGCGTTGCCACCTTTGTTGACAGGGGCGAGCAGTGGAGGGGCAGTTGGTAGGAACTTGTCGACGACATCTTTAAATATGCAGCAGGTTGGTCTATGGCTGGCCAGAGCTGTAAACAAGCCACAGCCGCAAATGGAGAGTAGCCAAACAAACAAACAAAACAACAACAGCAAACAAAGCTGCTAAAAACATAAACAAAAACAAAGCCACATACTTTGTAGCAGCAGCTACATCAAGTGGACAGCCCCGCCAACTCTGGCTGGCAACTCGAGTAGCGAATTCCACTTTATGCTTTTATTAGGCTTACGTTTCACGCGAATGTGTGAGATGAACGCGTGAAAGCTAACAGAAGTGCAAAAATAATCGGGTAAAATGGAAATATATGGATTTATCATAAGATAGAGTTTGTCAAATATAACTTTAAGATGTATTTGTTGTAAGATACCTAGAGATACACAAATAAAATAATATAATAATAGGATAAATTGTTGTGTGTGTGCGCTTAAAAAATTATCATATATGTATTTGAAAAAAGGTCGGATGATGGCAAATCTATGTGAAACTATTAGAGCTGTGAAATAGTTTTTGACTATCGTTTTCTCTCACTCTCCTTTTATGTCTTTCTCTCTCTCTCTCTCTCCCTCTCTCCGCCTACTTTTTAGTATCCCTTTTAATTATTCTCACTCTATTTTCTTTAATCTCTTAATCTCTTTCTCTCTTTGTCTAAAAATTTCTTTTATACTCTCATAACTATAAACAATAAGTAAATGACTTTCTTGATTCTTCTGACGCTAACTTTATAAGAGGTGTTTCTTAGGTCTGACATATTGGATTACAAAACGATGTATTCGTCGTCTTTGGCTAGATGATAAAATCCCTATGATGACTTCGGATGTGGTAGTATCATATTGAACTGACTTTTATCTTTCAAAATCAGAGTCATTCGCCTTCTCTCATGGCCTGGTTTAGTCTAGATATGACAGCTTAGCTTAGATCACACATTCACGCACTCTTCTTCCTGTATGTTTTCACACCCAGCAAATGCAGCTGACAACATTTTGTGTGTGCGCGTGTGTTTGTATGTGTCAAGCCCGGCGGGGGTTGGCCAAATGCTCGTAAACAAGGAAACCAGGCTGCATATTTCGGTAGCCCTCTATTAAACAAACAGAGTTTGTGGACATGGCGAGGGTTGACTGATAAGTAGCAGAAAGGCATGGCTACTGGGCAGGCAGGCAGATTCCCAGCGAATGGATTTTCAATTATGCAACCGAGCAAATGTTTTATTTATTGACTTTGCGCGCGTTTCCATCATAACTGAAAGGTTTTTAGATACGGTGGTTGATTTCATGTGCCCTCGAAGGCGTCAAGAAATTTCCAGGGGTTGCTGTTGTTGTTGTTGTTGCCAAACATATCAAAAATGCACTTTGAATATGCTCTATAGCGTGGGGAAGGGGGAGGCAGCTGTAAGTTGATCGCTCGATTATGCAATGTCTCCTTGGGCAGGGGGCAACAAACTTTTCAGCTCTCCAGTAAATTAAACTTGGCCCGCAGTCTGGCTGGCAGCCAATTGTAGATCTTAGAGAATGAATTGGATGCGGCCCAAGTACCTAGCGAAAAGACGGAAGTCGATCAGCAGACGCCAGTTGCGTGTCTTCTGGATGTGTCGCTTTCGGTACCTATGCATTCACTGAATGGTGCGGGGTGAGGCAGGGGTAGGAGGTGCGACAGGCGCATTAATTATGAATCGCTTTCCACAGCTAATCTAGTGAGAAACTTTAAAAGTATGCACTTGCCGCCATACAGTGGACAAAAAAGTACTTAAATGCAATTTCTTAAAACGCAATCAAAATTTCTCAATCAAAATCTTTTTCATTTTTCTTCTAATTATAATTTAAATTAAAAATCAACTAAAAATCTTCCCATTTGGTCTCCTGGACTGTCTAAAGACTCCTCATTCGATTCCGTTATAAATTTATATCAGAAATATGTTTTCAGTGTAGTTATTACAAATTAAATTCTCAACTTTAAGCCAACTAGGTCTTAAAATTCTGTTTTGCTTAGTTTGATTTACTTCAGAAAGTCAGCCAAAGAAGTTTGCACAGTTTTCAACTTTAACTTTCAAAGTTAAAGTCAAAATTTTCTTACTGTGCACACGACTTATAGCTGTAAATAATTCAAGTCTTAAGAGAATGAAAAAACGGCTAAATAAAAACAACCACAAAATGTCATTTCCATTAGCCTCCAACTTGTTTGTTGAGCCTAAAAATAGCTAAGATAGCCGCTGGAGTGGGCATGTACAGCTCTGCATTATATATATATATAGATCTCCAGTTCTTGGGAAAATATATCGTAAATTTCAGCAAATTTAGCTATGCAAGATTTTGGGGCACTGATTTATTGTGCTGACATTTGGCTTCATTCAGGCATTGGCTTTGTATAAAATATGCATAATGGGTCTCATTAGTGCACGCCTGAAAAGCCGGCCACATATTCCAAAGAAAAACCTACCAATATATATTTATATATATATTTATACATAGGTTACCTTCTGACATCCGGTGAGTTCGGCAGACTGCGACATTTGCGGGCGCTTTTGCTGCCACCATGTGATGAGGATGAAGCATTGCCCATTTTTTAGTTTTTTATCGCTCTCTGTCTCCCTTGATAATGTGTTATAATAATGACGATGATTGTGTTGATGTATATGATTAGAAAACTTAGTTTAATTTGGCATTTAGATGCAACTTTGGCACTTTTTAGCTGTTATATTTTCACGTGTATTTATTTACATTTTATTTTTCAATTTTTGGCCAGCTTTCAAATATTTGTTTCGTTACATTTTACAGTTGCTAGATCATTTAGAAATTTTATTATAATTTTAATATTGTTTTATATTTAAGTAGGTATATTTAAGGGCATATTTTGTTTTCTGTTTAAGAATGGCATATATGAAACACATCTTTTATATATATGTGTATATATTTTGTTGAAATATTAAAATTTTTATATTTATATAAATATATTTTTCATATATATATTATGTACACATTTTTGTATATTATGTTGAATTTTGAAAACTTTTTTTATATTTATTATATTTTTTATTATTTCTTATTAGTTGTTGTTTTATATATATTATTTAAGGAATTTTAGCTTAAGCTGTGCTGTAAGTCGTGATGGTTCATATAATTTTACTTTTTGATGACACGAATTATCATCGATTAAACAAATATATAAAACGTATTATTATAAACAAATAACTGTAATATATTAAAGATTAAAGAGCTGGGCAAAACCATTCCGCTGACAGTTCAATTCAAGACAAGCATTGCCAAGGGCTCTTAAGGGTAATTATCTGTCTTCATTTTTCACTTCACTTTTGTGTTTTCTGATTTAATTTTTACACTCATTAAAAGCTCAGGGGCGTGTCGCACTGCATTCTATCAGACCAGCCGAAAAATATTGTTTGCTCTATGTAATTACTTTGTAATTAAATGTGTGACAGACGCAAAAATTGCTGCTAATCAAACAAATGTCTGGTACCCCAAAATACGCCCCCAAGCCAAATGCCGGCAAAAAGGGAAAATTTAAAGAAAAACGCCATTTGCCCGGCTGGGGATGACCAAAAATGTGTGCACAGCACTTTGATCTAAAGGCCAAGCTGAATGCTGGACAGGGAGGGGCGCGGTACGCCGAGGGCCAGTTGTTACAGAAAACTTAATGCAATTAAGCGAACATATTTGCAACTTCCGTGCCGTACAAACAACTAGAACCAGAGACCAGGAAACCGACATTTTTGATGTATGGCTGCTGATGCGGCTAATCTGGATAGAAACAAGGGCGCAACAGGGTGACTCAAGCTTAAAGGGGGATGCCTCGAAGATGCCCAACAAGAATGTTTTTGAGCGCAAAATCAATAACTTCAATTACAAAGATGCAAAGCCTTGGCAACAAGCAGGAACAATTCGACAAAAGCACAACAGCAAGAACAGCAAAAAATGGCGTGTAAATAATATACGCACGTGCGTGTGACACGTGAGTGGGACTGGGACCTGGAGAGGCGGGGTAGGGTATTCACGAATTTGTTTGAAGTGCCTGCTAAATGCTCTAAAAGTGGTCATATTTTTTGGTGTACAACACGCAATACTCTGCTGGCAGAGGGTGCGAAATTTATGCTTAATCAATTTGTCGTAAAAATTAATGCCATGTATTTTTGGGGCATTTTGGAATACTAGAAGCTGTAAGGGTTGCTTTGACAGTGTTGCTGCAGCCACTGCGATAAATGTTGCAATTGGGCAAGGATTCTTTTTGTCGACACGTGTCACGACGCGGGTGGGCTTCGTGGGTAGGAGAAAGAGTTGCAGAGTTGAAGTCAGCTTTTGGCTTATGCGTGAGTTTTATTCGAATTTATTGTACATTTTGCACTGACTGCCTCTCGCAATTGTTTACTTGGCGTCAGTTGCGTAATCAAACTGTCACAGCAGCAATTACCATAGCTCGAATCACTCGACTGCGACTCCGGCAACAACTCCGGTGCAACTCGACTCGAGTCAGTCTCGATTCTGGCTCTCGTCTCGCCTGACTGCATAATTTTCATAAATTGTTGCAATTGTTGTTGTCGTTTGTCACTCTCGAACTGGAACTGGAGCTGCGCATAATAAATGTGGCGTAGAGGCCTAGCAAATCGAGAACAACAAAAGACCTCAAGCTGAAATGCTTGACAGATTGCTGACAGTCGCAAGGCATAAGGAACGACATTTCCAAGCCATAGAGGAAGTGTGACTAAATCACAAAAAATCATAGAATAATTGAGCTTGATGGAGCAGGAAGCAAAAGAAAGTGCCACATGAACCCAGTTCTAGCTCTTTTACGAGTTCAAACGAGTCAAGTGGTATTTGATACTCTTCTTTATGCTGAGAAATAGCTCAAACTAGCTTTTGCGTCAAGGAGTAATTGGAACCAAGTGATGGACTTTACGTAAGCGAATTCTTCATTTTAACTAGTTTGGATTGGAACAAGCAGTTGGCAATCGAATTTATAGATCTTAGGGCTTTGATACCAAAAGCTACAAAGATTTTAAACTAGTTCATTTGAGCTTATTTACGAAAAACTGCAAATATTGCCATCCGTGTTCAAACTTCCTTAAAGCTATCTGCAACCCTAAATGATATTCTGAGCTAGTTTTGCGAACTATTTGAAACTGATGCGTCAGCAAAATATCAAAGAAAATTTGATGTAAATTCAATATGAATAAACAGGGCTTAATTAGCGAAAAGCATTAAGACAATTATGAACTAGTTCACAATCATTTCAATATTGAATATTATTGTTATAAGAATTTGACTTGCGTAAACGTGTTTAAGCGAATTTGTGATTGAGCCAAAGATCAAGCGCAAGATGATATTGCACAATGTAATTGCTGAGTGGCTTTTGAAAATGCATTCAAATTATATGCAAATTGTGGACGGAAATTACAGCAAATTGTCGTCTGCGTGTGTGTGGGAATTACCTAAATTAAATTTGGCCATGATGCAGTCATGCCATGTGTCATGGCATAAAATAAATATCAGTTGTCGACCCATTTTTTGGCAGGAGTCAAATTAACAATATGAAAGGTAATGTATTGTCGCAAATTCAGCATCCGAGCTTTAACAGTTTGGGCTGTGGATGGCTGCATCAATCAGTCAGTCAGCTATTCAGTCAGGCAGAACAAACATATATGTATATATATATGGATGTGCAGACCACACATGCAACAAACACTGCGCAGACAGTCGGCAATTATTCATAAATATTGATAAACGCAACGCGTTTGCCATTTTAATTGAACATAGACAGTCGCTACATCAAAGCTATCAACCGATTATGAAATATTCATATTATAAAAATATGATGTATGTGCGTGACTTGGGAGCACCTATCATAACCAATCTACGTTTTGAGTTTTCCATTAATTGGCCGTTGCGGAAAACAGACAACAAAATGTAAAACTTGAAAGGGCACAACAAAATGTCAGCTTTTTGGTTTGAGATATTTTATCTACATCTTTTTGTTTTTCTACATTTTGGTTTTACTCCCCGCGCTGCGTTAAAACGCCGTGACAAATTGTTGATTTGCTTTGACATATAAATAAAAGACTTTTGTCTAAAGTTTGTCGCGCTGCTGTTTGTATCCACTTATTTTTGTATTTTTTTCTCTTTTTCTTCTCCTTTGCTTTTAAGCGGAAGCTAAAAGAGTCTTTCAAGTTGATTTCTGCTCCATAAACTTGTCTATTTTCGTATTGTGCCGTGCTCGCTGAAGCGTAAAGTTGCCCGGACCCGCAGGGAACCCACCTACTGCTCCACTCACCTCCCTTCCCCATACCTTAGATGCGTCTCATATGCTCTGCTTAAAATTTGGAGCAGCACGTGCATTTGCACGTTTATACGTTTATGTTTTTATACCCCTTTCAAAGAGGGTATTTTCCGTTTTGACGAAATATGTCACGCACACACGGAAAAATCTTTGGCCCTATTAAGTTTGATTAACCAGGATTAAGATTTAGTAAATACATGGATACATACATATATACACTTACAAAAAAAACATAAAGCAAACTGCACAATAAATTACAAAAATCATAATAGTAACAGTAATAATTATAATAATAACAATAATAATAATAATACTAATAATAATAATAATACCAACACTAAAAAAAATCTACGCTTATTTTAAGCCTGTAAATTCTTGTAAGAAGTATTGTGTAGTCTATCTAATCAATTTTATCTCAAATGAAAATAAAATAAACGCTATTTTAATCAGGGAATCTTCATAATTTAGAAAGGAACCATTTGAAAATTCCGAAAACCCTCTGATATAGTTCTTTGAAAATGTATAAATTAAAAACACATATCACAATCATGAGTTTCGCCGTGTTCTGCATAAATAAGCAGTTCTTAAGCGAAACTTTTAAGTAGAACCGTTTAAATTGGCGGACGGTTGTGGTTGAATATATCATAAATCTGTCATACATTCGCGAGGGTATTTAAGCTTCGTCACGTCGCAAATAACTTTCTTTCTTCTTTTTTCTGCTGCTTCTGTCTATATGTATTGTTTTTAGTGTTTGCCTTTCGTTTCTTTATATTTAGATGGAAGTATTTTCTTTATGTCAGTTTTACGGCGCATTAAAAGCCAACTTGAAAACCAGCTGAGCGGGGGGCGTGGCAGCGTAGTGGAGAGGGGGGCGGGTCGGGTAAGACAGTGACTGAAACAGACCTCCAAACATAAATCTCGACGAAAATTTATTTGTTAAACTTCAAGCTGAAGTTGATTGTTTTCATGGACTTGCCAAGCATTTGATATGCATTGCATGTGCACAGGCGCCTAGCGAGAAAAAGAGGGCGTGGCATTGTTATTAAGCGGACTGCAATGTTAGATTTATGAACATTCTCAACTATGGCCAAGACAATGAATTAGAGCCCAAGCCCGGTCCGGACCACCATAACACCTACAACAACCACAAAAGCGAGCCCAGAACGAGGTCCATTTATTTGCTCTGTACTTCCTGTCAAAAATTGAAAAGAGAGCGTGCCCGAACTCTTTATTGGTTAGGCCATGAGGCTGCACCGTATTACCCCCCTGGTCACTTC